CAGGTCTGGCTTCCCCTGAGGAGCTGGGGTGCAGGTCTGGCTTCCCTTGAGGAGCTGGGGTGCGGGTCTGGCAAGTGGTACACAATAGGAAAATCACATTCTAGGAAGACAGTCCGATCAAGACTGAAGGGAGAAGAGTGGGCGAGAGGTCTAGACCACAGGAGATGGGCTGCAGAGGGGCCTAGGAAAGCTGGCTTTCTAGAGCAGCCTCACTGCAAGAAGCACGAAGGAAATCTGCTTTTCAATGAAAGGGAGACAGGTGGAGGCAGGGGCTGTGATGGGTAGAGGTCCTGCAGAGCTAAAAATCAAGAAATAAAAATCATAGCTGTAAATGAAGGCAGAGGAGCAGACAGTAAACCCAGTATTTTCACGTCATTTGGGATGGAGTGTGTGTGTGTGTGTGTGTGTGTGTAGGGGGCAGGGGTGCTATAAAGAAAGGAACACGTTTGACAAGGTCAAACTTAGGTCCAGTGTCTCCATACTCTTGGGCAGCTGAGATCCTTACAGCTTAAGCTCAGAATTTTGGGTAATAGACATCTGATTTTGAGGATTCAGTAGAATGACTCATACTACTTCTTGGTTAATTAGTGTGTGGCCTACTTCATATTTCTAGAAAACTACTTATTTATGCGGCAATACTGAGAATCACAAATCTTTATCCCACCACATCTATGTCTGGCTCTTCAGGAATCAGCTGGAAACCTCATTTATCAGTCCTTCACTCGGAGTCACCATCAGACATGCCAAGAGCAGGTTCCACACCCTGTGCCCTGTGTAATAAAGATCCTGAAATTCCAAGATGGCTGACTTCTTCCTCACTCTCCTAACTTCAGACAAAAGCCTGGCAGCTCAAAAGGCTTTGTAGGCTTTTGTTTCCCACCAGCAGGCCCCCTGATGGGCTGGCTCCAAAAGTCCAAAGCCTGCTCAGGACATGTCACACAAGAGTTGCTGCCCAATCAGCCACCACAGCTGTCTTCAAATTGACCAACTCTGCATTAGGGGAGGAAAATTCTTCAGAGGCTTTAAAACCCCCAGATCTCAAGAGGAGATTTTTCAGCTTCCCGAGGCCCCTCTCGGCTTGGGAGAGTCTTCCTGTGTGTCTGCTGCATGCCTGTTCTTCCTCACCCCCAACAAATGCTTTTCTTCAACTGCTGATTCTGTCTGTGGTGACCCAGGGTTCTCTATTGCTACCTGTTGTGCTTCGGGTTTTTACTGCCTTTTAATTGGAAGAGAAAACAAACCCAATCAGGACCCCTAGTCTGTATCACTTTCTTGCTCACATTTCTCTCATGTTTTCTTCTGTGGCAGAGAGAATTCACAGAGCAAATTGGATTCTATGAACAGGAACAAAAGCCATGGCAGAGAGGACGGCACTCTTCAAGTCAGCATGTGGAAGGGGAAATGGACATTGAAGGGCAAACATTATGCCACAAAGTCCTGGCTCCAGCAGCTTCCAACCTTGGTTCAGGAAAAGAAACGATGATGAAATCCGATCCCAGAATGAACCTGGTGTGGAAATGAGTGTCATATCTGGCTACTGCAGTGGACAGTTGGATGGGAACCAGTGTTTCTGGTATCTCAGCTCATGTCGCCGGTGTGTTGGAGTCTAACAAGGATGCAATTCTCAGTCTGTTCTAGAAATAATCTGGGCAGGTGTTGGTCCCTTTTTCAGAACAAAATGGTAAAACTACTAACAGGAACATTTGAACAGCTTCCCAAGCAAACAGGTCTCCTGAATGGGTCGTCCTTGTAAGGTTTGAACTGTTGCCCCATGGTTGGTGTGTAGTGGGACACAGACCTTTCTCCTCACATTTACCAGACATTGTAGAAGCTGCTTAGCCTGTCCGACTCAAAGTTGTCTCCTATCTAATTACCATAGAGTAGGTAATGTGTCCTCAGTTTGCTAAGAGGCCGTTACCTAGTCAAGGTGACTTTGATGCGAGAGTTGGTTATGAGTTTGTGAAACAAACTAATACAATCTACGTACTTCTCATGGCATTTGTGATCCAATGAATGTGGTAATTTAACGGACGGCTTTAGAACCTCGTCATTTTTATGTTTATCATGTGGTAAGGTATTGACGTGTTCCCACATGATTGTTTCGTGGAGTCACTTATTGCATTTCACTCCTCTTAGGACAACCTGGAAACAGAGCAGCCACAGCCAAAGGACCTCAATTTGCCCAACAATTTGGAGTAGTGTCTGTGCTATGATTTGAACCACAGGCTGTCCTTTGGTCATGTGTGACCTTCAATGTGGGAACTTCTGGAGATAACCCCATGGACAGTCAGGCTTTGGAACAACCAGAAGTGGAGTACCAAAGGCTGTGGGTTTGGCTGCTCCTCAGACGAGCTAGGCCGTTTCTGAAGATGCAGAGGTCACTGGTAGGGCTTTACCTGTGGGCCTACCATTTATGATTCTCCAACGGATGTAACCAGGGGTAATTATTGAAGGACATTTCTTCGATATGATTAAATTTTGTTAAAGGGTGGGATTCACTTAACCAGATGAACTTTGTTCCATGTAAGAAAAATCTTGCGTGTCCTTCTGTTTTTATATCCAAGGCTATTGTGGTGGTCAATCTGCTTTGTAAATGTGACCTAATTGAGAATCCCCTAGGAGACACACTTGTGTGTCTGTGAGGGCATTTCTAAAGACCTTTAACTCAATAGGGAAAACTCACCCAAGTGTGGGCAGCAACCGTCTCCCAGGTTGGTATCCAGGACCCATGAGCAGGAGAGGGTGAGCTGGACACTAGGCTTCATCTCTGCTTCACGTCTGAAGACTCGGGTGACCAGCTGCCTCAGGTCCTGCTGCTGCTTGTGCTCCACACCATCCCCATCACGATGGACTCTGTCATCACACAGGAAGCTAAGTTCACCCCAGCTTCCTTAGGATGCTTGTCAGGCGTCTTCTCACAGCAACACAATAGGAATTAATACAGAATTTTCCAGATACTGGAGTGGGCTTAAGGATCCCAAGACATTTTCTCCGCATTGCCTTAACTTTTAGTTCCCAGAACCCTCAGTTCATGATTATATACCATACTGGTCACCAGATTAAACTTCCTTATTTTTATCAAGAATCTAGGTTAAGAGAAATCGAATTAATGTTTTCTCGGCATTTTAAGCCCTGAGACAGTATTCCATATATAATATACAGATAGTGTGTATACACACACACACACACACACACACACACACACACACACACGATATACATCTATAAATGGAAATGAGGTCATCCAGAAGTATTGTCCAGTAATACATTTCTTTTCATCTTAGCCTGTCCTTTCTGCTGTCTGTTCACATACATGCACACGCTCCATGAAATGTACTACACGTGTTGATGCCAGAGTTGATGGAATGTATCTGGGTGGTCTGTTCATCTCCTTTCTGTTCCCAAATAAAGATTCCAACTTTCCATTTTCAAACTCTGGTAGGGCACAAATAGTGTGAAATAAGCCTCACCTTATGAGAGGAGAGCATTAGCCCGAAATAGGTCAAAACCACAAGATCAGACATGTTGTAGTCACTTGACACGGAGGAGACTGATTCCTTCTCTATTTTTGTTTCTTCAGTTTTAAGCCATTCTTTCTGGGTGTTATGATATTGTTGAATCATGGGATTTTCACACAGTTGAGTTGGCTCATATACATATATATGTATGTATATGTGTATATAATTATTATATAATAACTTTAATTATATGAAAGTTATGTATATATAGTTAGGTATGTATAATATATATATATTACACACACACACACACACATATATATATGTATATATATATAACTTTTTTATAATAAACCACTGTACTTTCATAGTATTTTTAAAGGAAGTTTAGAAGTAGAGAGAGGTGTGCAACACTCTTGGTATTATTTGGGTACTCTGACCTGAGTTCAAACTCTTCAGCCTTGAGTTCTCTACCAACTAAGGGAGCTGGACTCATCAAGAAGTAATTACAGCAGAGACCAAGTAACCCTCCTTGGGAATATATCAGCAGTTCATGGTAGCTAGTGGAGAAGGGCTTATGAGACACCCCCTCCCCTGGCATCTACAGCCAGCCAATGGTTGCTGGTTGTTGTGGGAGACCTTTTCTTCAGTGGCTTATCTGCTGGTAAGGTGTCCATGCTCCTGTAAATAATCCCTGACCCATGTTCCTGTAACTCCAGTTAAACTCACTGGCTCCCAAATAGAAGATAGGAAAGTTGAAGGAGAGGAAAGAGTTCAATGAGAGCGAGAAGGGAACAAGAGAGGGTACTGGGATGTGAATATGATCAAAATACATTTATATGCATATATGAAATGTAATCATGAAACCCTCTATTGTGTATAATTAATAGATGCCAACCCACAAATAACTTTTCATACAAGGAAAAGGAACCTTCATTATGACAAAATTGGGGCTGGTGAGATGGCACAGGGACCAGTGATGCCTACGGCCAAGCCTGAAGACACAACCCGAGTTCACTCCCTCTCAGGGAACAGACACACGCTGAGTGAGTTTCTCAGCATTTGTAAAGTGACAAGGCCTACGTGGAGATGAGCCATTAGTGAGTGTAGAGTCTGCGAACAGTGGACAGGTATTGGGATGCTTCCCTTGTATACTCCTAACAGCCTGCGATTTCCCGCTCCTTCCCGTGACCTCCAGTTCAACTCTGCTCACACCATGCTCTTCTGCGTGTCCCATCTCCCCTACTGAATCCCGATTTCCTCAGAGGCAGTGACAGAGTTCCGCTTTGCTCTCAGTCTCCTCTACATGCCACGGCACAGTTGGTCTTGCCCGGTAGGCGCTCAATCAACAGCGAGTGAATGGTAATCAAAGGAGATAATTGCAGCCTTCACTTTGGAGGGAACCGTGGGCCTAAGATGAAACAGCTCCGGATAACAAATCGACACACAGAGGTAACAGATGGTAGTGGGGTTTAGCTTCGGCATGTGACCCGTATTCGAGAAATATGGTGGCATAAGGGCATGCGTTGAGAGTATTCACTCTGTAACTGTGTGAGACCAACATAAAAGAGTACACAGTCTTATTTATCGGGAAGAGTGTCACACTTCTAAAATATAAGGTCTCAAAAAAGTGCCTGCTTACGGAGAAATAGACAAGTGAATTGAGTTGGTGGAATAATCCACCAAATTATGGCCCATTTTCCCCATACACTGAGAAGGTCATATGGTCTCCATTTGGCGATTATTAGAGTATCATGCAGCCATCATTTTTTAGTTATATGAAAAATCCTAAGTTAGACTATACTTGATGTGGTTTCTATGGGTAACACTGATTGGAACAGGCCACCAGGGGACCTGATAGGATTGCTCACCAAGTAGTCCTTGTAGATAGAGGTGGTGATGGTGTCCAAGGCAATGGATAGACAGATTTGTAGAGGAGCACATCGTAAGCAACGGTGGGAGGAGCCAAAGAGATGCTCAGTGGCTAAATATCTTCCTGTTCGTGCAAAGGATCAGAGTTCAGTTCCCAATGCCTGCACCTAGGGCTCACAACTGCTAATAACTCCAGCTCAGACGCCTGCACTCACATACACAGAACCACACACAGACACACCATGCAAAGCACAAAGCCAGACACACCAACACGTGTTCTCTCAGACAGGTGGGTTGAAGTTTCCAGGTAGATTAAACTCAGTCCTCCCTCACCCCATATATCTAATGGCCAAAAAAAAAAAAAAAAAAAAAAAAAAAAAAAAAAAAAAAGCTAAAGAGAGAAATGACATTTGACTCATTCTCCTTTTGGCATTTCCACATGTGACCTTCCATGTG